CTTCTATGAGCAGCACATATACGGCTAGCATAAGTATGAGTAAACGAGGGATGAACAGATCATACCCTCCGGTTGGCCAGGCCAACGCAGCAGCGGCAGCAGCAGCCTCAGCGTCGTCTGTGACCTTCTTCTTAGCGGCGGCGTCATCGGCCATGATGTTGGTGCAGAGGAAGTAGTGGAAGCAGAGACGAACGGAGTTGGGGACGGATCGGGAGCAGCCGCGTCGAGGCGCTCCCCAAAATCCTTATTGACGTTCTCCCGGGCAGGATCTCGAACGACAAGGTTTCAAAGGCACCTGCTCTCCCGACCAGTCGTGCACGCGGTCGTCGGGATGGGATCGCCGGAGGCAGCACAGAGTGAGGAACAGTAGATGACGGCTAGGTCACGCGAGAGGGAGTGAGTGAACCAAACTTTCTTATATAGTCCGTAAGGAAGAAAGTCGTGGGACTTGCCGAGTCGGCCCACTCCCGGCAAGGGAGTCGATGCACAGTCCAACGTAATTAATCCCTGATTAATTAATTCGTTCCTGAGCGGCAAAAATAAGCTTAGGCTCGGCTCATTCCCGCAACCCGCGTCGCGTCGTGACGAGGCGAGGCGGGCGGCGGAGGAGGAGGAGCGCGCGTGTACCACTCCTCTTCCCAAGCTCCCAATGGCAAGTGGTAGAGCAGCCCTTATAAAGGAGTTTCAACTCTCCTCAACTAGCAAGGTGGGACTAAACTTCCCACCACCTGCCATCTCATACATGGGCCTCAAGATTAACCAGGGATTAGTGTCTTATATGGGCCTAAGCCCATCCATAATCCAACATAGGTTAGGGCTTATTTTCGACAGAGCGTATGAGCTCAAGGTTTTTTTCAAACTTCACCCTACAATAGGATCCTCATCGCGGTTCCCAATATCCCAATCTATTGTCTCGTCGAATTTTTCCGAGCTATGCGGGCTCAAGAAATAGCAGCACGTATGTAGGGGTGTTCGCACCGCACACAGTAGTATAACATGTTAGAGCAACTCCAACGTGCCGACTCATTTTATCCGTGTGTGTCTGTTTGGGTCGTAGCGGACAGAAAAGTCGGCCCAATGCGCCGATCCAAACGGACGCCTGTTCACTTTTCGTCCGCCTGTCGACCCATTCGCGGCCCATTTTTTAGCCTGATTTGCGTAGGCGCAGACGCGCGGCAACAACTCCCCCTAGCCCGCCAGTCGGTGGCAAAACCAGGCATCATTTCCTCCAATTTCCCAAAACCTCACATTGTTGGAGGGTCATCAACGAAGAGGAGAAGTTCAAGGCGCAATATGCCGCCCTTATGGCGCGTGGGGGGAAGAAAGACGAGGAAGAGGTTGTGGATAGCGAGAAGACACAACCGCGGGGGAAGACCAACTCCAAGAAGGAGGACAAGTGGGATGCGGCGTCCAACGCCTTATCTACCGTGGAGGGCATGATGACCAAGAACGACACAAGGGAGGAGAAGCGCTGACAAGATAAGGAATATCATGTGAACGCCTTCATGGAGATCAAAAGGAGGAGGCTTGAGATGGAGGTGAAGAAGCAAGTGAAGATGTTTGAGATGGAGGAGCAAGCGAGGATGCTCGAGATAGAAGCAGCCAATGCCAAGACTAAGGCGAAAGAAGTAGCTCTCGCTAGCATGATGAGGGGGTGGAGATCATGAAGGTGGACCTGAACACCGTATCACCGTGGAAGAGGCCATGGTTCAAGAAGATGCAGGACGACATGCTCAAGTTTGACGACGAGTGATCTATGGCCGCAGGCGCCATCCTTTTTTGCATGCCAGCAAGCGTGCTGGCATGACCACGGGCCGAGACGCCGTGGTCGAACTCCAGACTTTTTTGTGTGCTGGCATGTGTGCCCACCGCTGGCAAACGCGCCAGCAAGGCTGTGTGGTGGTCTTTTTGGAGGCTGGCATTATATGCCGGCCGCTGGAATGGTGCCGGCATGAACTTTGGGTGGCAGCATGGCCGCAGGCATAATCTATGGCCGTCGGCATTTTAAATTTCCATGCGGACATGAAATGGGCTGGCGGCGTTGGACACTTGGACGACCCAAAAAGAAAACTGGGCAGACACCGAGTGGGCGGCCGACCCAAACGGACGAAAAGCAGACAAAATCGCTGTCTGTTTGGGTCGGCGCGTTGGAGTTGCTCTTATTCCACATGTTTTACCATTAAAGAAATCGTTTGGTTTGATCAATCACAAGCCCCTAATACTGAATACCAAACTGACTAAACAGGCAACAAATTACCAAAATCCAAGTTATTGTTACACACCAATGGTGCACAACAATTTAACCGAAGAACAATCATAAAACTCGGTCTGATAGATGGGTCATCAAAGAAGAATCAACGCATCCAGAAGCAATGCCGACATAGGAGTTGTGCACCATGCCAGGGGCGTAGCCAGGTGAGGAAGTTTAGCCAGTGATCCTCAGAACCCCCGGACGATGCCACCCCTGTGATGCATTGTATGCTTCACCGCCACCTGCTCCCATGACTTTTGCTCCCCGCGTCTACGCCCTTTGATTTCCCTCCTTTATCTGCAAAATTACCCAAATTGTTATCCACCGGCATATCATCCCGATAAGCATAATTTGGTCATTTATCAGCTTTCTTTCAAAAAATAAATCATTTCTGCACCTCCAAATTATCCAAGAGATAGCGGCAGCACCAACTAAGACCAACTAAATGACAAACTCGGATTATAAGGACTATATCTTAAATGAAAAGCACATTGTAATCAAAACTCAAATTGTGCAGTCTAGCATAAGAGAGATTTAAAGAGGTTTATCATCCACCTACCAATCTTCCCAAAATCAAGTATTTTTGCCATTACCCACTTATTTTTGCAATGTTGGTAGAATATGTCTTTTATTTTCACGAGACTCAACTAAAAATGGGAGTCCCCAATCTTAGGTTTAGTTGCAGAAAAACAACCATTCCGAACATGTTTGTTCAGGAGAATTGTTTGCTAGAGACCATTTACAGTCTCTAACTTCCATAACCATCTAGTTAACATAGTTGTGTTCATGAGGCCAAGATATCTAATCCCTAGGCCCCCTTGCTCTTCATGTCTAAAGCCACTGTCCCGGTTTACTAAAAGATATTTTTTTGTCACTCCTGCTAAACAAACCTAGCCATGAAGAAATTGGCTCCTTTTTTCACACCAACCGGGATGGGTAGAAAGACATCATATAAGTAGCATCATCCCCTTCTGATGTTAAAGAACCGAGGACAAATCATCCCCATTAGCAATATTATAATCAGAATCAGCGGCATGATCATCTTTTGTTGAAAAATCCAGCAAATAACTATTTGAAGCATGCAAATCACATCTCTGAACCGTATTTCTCACAGCTACAAATCCCCACACCATTAATTTGTAGATGAGAATGTAAAAAATTGTAGAGACCAGCAATCTTACTGTAAAAGCAGCAAAACGGCCGCAGGAGTCCTCATCGTCGGACTCCTTCCCGGCTTGCAGCCAAAATTGACTGCTAGCCAGGGAGACACCTATTCATCGTCGACGCTCCGTGCAAGCGACTGGATCCGTGCAGAACGTCGGGGGAACCGAGGAGAGCGACGTGGCAGTTGTGAAACCACCCGGGCCACCTTCTGCCTCGGCACCACCCGCACGCCGTCGTCGGTCACGACGGGCATCGCCCGACTGCGTGGCGACGACCTCACTGTCATGATCACCACCCCCAAATCATCCCTGTCTAGGGCGGAGAAAACCCAATCGCGTGACGCGTAGGGTTTCCACCATGCGCGCCCCAGATCATCGGATTTCCCCTCCATCATCGCCCAATAGATGATCTCGAGTGGGGACTTCCCCTTGATATGAATTTGTTCCTCCTTCAAAGCCTCTCGAATCACCAGGCGAGAATCCCGATGCATCTCCTTCGCATCCTTGTACCACATGTAGATATGGCGAAGCATTGTCATCTTTTTCTCGTCGCCGCCCGCGATCGCCGCCGCCATGTGCTCCCCCCATGCCCAATACCCGTGATTCGCTATCGCCGGCATGTGCTCCTCCCACGCCCAAGGCCCGTCCATCGCCGTCGGCAATGGCCCCCCGCATGCCCAAGGCCCTTTTGTTGTTGAGATCTGAGACAGAGGTCGGAAGGGGAGAAGCGGATGGATCGTAGAGACCCTTGTGCCTCCGCGTCTAGATTTAATGCCTGCAAAAGTCGTACGTATTCATTGCCCGCATCGCGGTTTCCCCGAGATTGGTGCATGATCGACGCGGTTTTTCTTTCTTTCTTTCTTTTTTGCGAGGATGCCGCTGATTTTTTTGGAAATTATTATGTCCTAGATCTCGAGAAATCATTTATTATGGGCCATCCTATGAGGATCCCACTTGCCCAAATTGCATTCCACTAAAACCAGAATTGATAGTCGTGTATCTAAGATGCCGATCATGGGAAGATCATGACCAATATTTGTGTATACTAATACTTAAACACCAAGCAACTGAGAGAGAAGTATACTAAACATTATTGGCATCCGTCCATCCACGGAACGAGCACAACCCAACAAGATTACACCAAACGTGACGCTGCGTCAGTTTCAGTCTCGCAGCGGGACGGGACGGGACGGAAACGCTGCCGTGGGAAAGCGGAGAAAAAACTGTTGTAAAACGAGGCGAGGACAGCGTGGTAAACGGTGTCCGGTCCGGTCCAGTCACGCCCGCCGCACCGCACCATTTCCGCGAACACGCCACCACCCGACGTGCGGCCCAGCCGCCGAACGGGTCAAACCAGCACAAAACCACTGCCCTCACCGACAGACCGGCCCCACCTACAGCCCGACCCCACTCGCAGCCTCACCCAGCACCCCCTTATTAACCCCGCGCACAGCCACAACCAAAATCAATCACCTCGCCTCGCCTCGCCTCGTCGTCAACCTCGCCGCCTATCATCCTCCATCCCAGAGAGAATTCCCCCCAGACAACCACCGTCCACCGCCGCCGACGACGAGCCCCGGCCGCGGATGGAGCTGTTCGCGCACGCCAAGGCGGTGCGGCTGAAGAGCCGGCACGACAAGTTCCTGTACGCGGACGAGGACGAGCTGCACGTCACGCAGGACCGCAACGGCTCCTCCCCGAGCGCGCGCTGGACGGTGGAGCCCGTGCCGCACGCGCCCGGCGCGGTGCGCCTCCGCAGCAGGTACGGCCGCTACCTGGCCGCCTCCACCGAGCCGTTCCTTCTGGGCATGACCGGCCGCAAGGTGCTGCAGGCGGCGGCAGCGCCCGGGGGCCGCCCCGACGCGTCCGTCGAGTGGGAGCCCGTCCGCGACGGCTTCCAGGTGCGCCTCAAGTCCCGCGCCGGCGGCGTCCGCGGGGGCGGGGACAAGTACCTCCGCGCCAACGGGGGCGTCCCGCCCTGGCGCAACTCCGTCACCCACGACGTGCCGCACCGCACCGCCACGCAGGACTGGGTGCTCTGGGACGTGGAGATCGTGCAGGTGCTCACCCCCGGCCCGGCCACGCCGGCGCCGGAGAAGGCCGCGTCGGCGCCCCCCGCCGCCCTCGCGCCCGACTCGCCGCCCGCGCCCAAGCTCAGGCCCGCCCCCACCCCCTACGAGGCGCACCACCGGCCCACCAAGTCCCAGACGTCCCCGTCCCCTCCGCCGCCGGACTACGCGCCGCCCCCGCCGCCCAAGCCCAAGCCGGAGCCCAGGCTGTCCAAGCTCGAGGTATCCCCCTTTTTCTTCTCTTGCGTCTGATTGCGAATAATTGACTTCCGTTTTCGTCCTGACGACGGCATTGACTTCGCAATGCTCGTCTCTGTGTTCGTCGAATTGCTAGTTTTGCTAGGCGCTTTGCAGTTTTAATTCGCAGAATAGCCGAATCTGAACTGCATCTAAGAATCCATTGTTGGATCTTTGGAGCAGATTAGTGCTCCTGGAATGCTAATCGCGCTTAGGAGAAATACTTAGATTATTTCCCCACAATGCACATAGCAATTGTCTGCCAGTAGTCATGTGGCTTCCAATTGCTGGCATCGGTTGTGTCACATGGCCCAGATACAGATACAGGTGTCGCTTTGCTTTGAATGTGCCGATGAAGTAGATATAGGGCCAGTTCTTTTGGGCAATTCTCCGAGAATTGACCCCCTCCCCAGCTTCTCCCAGAATTGGCACTCTATATTTTCTTACAATGCCTAGCTAATTAGATCTTAACTAGCTAGGAATTGTAAAAAAAGATGAAGTGGCAATTCTGGGAGAAGCTGGGGAGGGGGTCAATTCTCGGAGAATTGCCCAAAAGAACTGGCCCATAGATAGGCTTTCTGCATTTTGTCACATTGCTTCAAGTAGATAGGCTTTGCGCATTTCGTGTTGTGATAGGTATGTGGTGGCCGTTGTTGTACTTATTGGGTATACGCAATTCTGTTTGTTTCATGTGTCATGTGTAACGTTCCTTCTTGAGTTCTTCCAAACTGTTGCTGCTATCGCAAGCAATCTGTATCATGAAATGCGCCGTTGGGCTTATTGTAGCATTCGTCCCAACTGTTGTTTTGATTGCAAGGAATCTTCTCATCATCAAATCTTCTGTCATATTTTGGGTTACTTTTCAAAACGCTGTCAAGTGCATCCTGAGAAACTATCCTTTCTCAGCTCTGCACAGTCGAGCTAGGCTGTATAGCATTTACTCTGTATTGTTAGAATTTTCAGAGTTTCTATCTTCTATACTGAAGAACTTGCATGCTGTATCTAAACTTATCTTTGCTATTTTCTTCATTACTCTGTACTTTTATGGTGGGTGAGAAAATACTAACACTGTACTTCTTTCTTGTATCGTCAGTCTTCCGATTCTTTCTCTGCCCCGTTGCACAAGGTGGAGGGCCGTGCGATCCACTACCACATTGCAGACGATAAGGGCGACGTGGACGATGATATCGAGAGACGCTCATTCACGTTTAATGGCTCTAACCTGGAGGAGCTCACCCAGAAGTTACAAGAGGAAACAGGCATCGATGATCTCATCGTCTGCACGCGCAGCCCTATCAGCGGGAAGCTCACTCCTCTCCTTCTGCAGCTGCCTCCGAACAATGCTGCAATGCATATTGTGCTCGTCCGTGAGTCCTCAAAAGGTATGTTTGTTATTCCTTGTTGTTTATACCATTCTCATTCCTTGGTCGTGCTGATTGTACCTAAGCTAGCTGTAATGCTCTGAACTTGCCCCATCTAGTATTTTTGTACACGAACAGGCCAAATTGCTTTTCTTTTTCATTAAAGCGAGTCCCATATAGTATTGATTGGCATTTGGAATCTGGGATGGTGGTTATGATTTAGGTCTGGCACTGGCAGAGCCTCAGTTGAGTATATTAGTTAGAGCAGTATGGCATGTTTGTTATTTTAGATATGGAATCAGCTAGGGATTCTGGGGTACTTTAGCTTTTTGATGAGTTGTGTTTTCGCACTAAGCAAAGTGGACCTTGCTCAGTTTATCATTTCAACAATCAACTTATGAGTAATGATTTGTCCACTACTGCTATACATTGTCATATTTTAATCCTTGCCTTGGAAACATGGCCGTGATGTCAAGTCTTAAAGTTTTTAACCAGCTGGGAACAAAAAGAGTGGGTATCCACACGATCAAATAACAAGCCAGCCCATCCTTTTTCTGCTACCCTATGGTACCCTGATAATGAAGTTATGTGGAAGATTCTTTCATGTGTTATATCATCTTTATTTGCTTCTTCCAAACGGTGCAGATTTAGTTTCTGCACTGAAGTCAGAAAAGTTCAGCTGGTTTATAATGTACTCCCTCCGTCCCAAAATTCTTGTCTTAAATTTGTCTAGATACGGATGTATCTAATACTAAAACATGACTTGATACATCCGTATTTGGACAAATCTAAGACAAATTTTTTGGGACGGAGGGAGTATTAGGCACGAGAAAACTTGAGCTGTTCATGAAGTTTGACTGGACACACATCACAGCTCAGCCTATTTGGTTGTGCTGTTGTGATTAGATTCGGTTTATGGTAGAAGAATGGTGTCAGTCCTTTGTCAAGTTATTCCATCTATGCACAACATTGGTCCTGGATTATTGTTCAGATTAACTCCATTTTCCCTGGAAGCACGAAAGGGGGGAGACATTTATCATAACATATCTAATATTTTGCATAGCATTGATAACATGCCATGGATCGGCACTACCATATGTAGTCCATGCCTGATGGGTAGCGTCTGGCTCTAGTAGATCAGTACTTCAGCACACATCCTTCTTCTCCACTTTGCTGAAGATGCCAGTATGGTATCATTCTGTTAGGGGTGAACAGAATAGTAGAACAAGTCTAAGCACATTGTACCAACTACTGAGCGTCGCTGCTCATCCGGACATGTGTCTAGCATGGTTGATATAGTTACTGAATCTTTCAGTTTTAATTAAACAACCCCATTAATACATGGATATAAGCGATATCCGAAGTACTTCCTTTTCTTTCAAAAAGATATTTGAAGTACATATAGTTACTGAATCTTAACATGTCGCTGCGACAGAGTTGGTGTGCAATAGCTTGTCTCCACACGGTGATCTGGATCTGTTTATCTTCATGTACTGATCTTTCTCCATTGTGAATTTCAGTGGCAAAGACATTTCCATGGCCATACGGCTCATAATCTCGGGAGGGAAGGCGGTTACTTCAAGTTGAGCGATGGAATGATGGGCTCTACATCTGGATCTGGTTAATACTTTGTTCTTTGGAACCATACCGGTCATTCTGGCTTCTGGGTATCAGAAGCAACTAGGACCCCGTGCTTGTGTATAAAGTGTTATAGATTAATTTAAACCGGCGGATCGTGCGAAAAAACTGGAGAGATGTTTATATTTTATTTACAGACTAGTAGTACCAAGTATGTTTATACTTTATAGACTAGTTGGAGGTTGGTGATGGTACTTGGAAATTTGTATTCCCTTGGTTTATTGATTGAATCATTGGAGATAGTGCTGTCCATGAATATTCTGGCCTGGAATCATTCCTCGGTTGCATTCCATCTGGATGTAGCACTCATATCCTTCGGTACATTAAAAAAGAAAGCACAAATGTCTGACCTGACTAAGTCTGATTTGACTTTTAGGACGATGAATGATTCTTATAGCGAATTAAATTAGAGTAGTGGTAGTAGTATATCAGTTCAACAAAGACACTTAACGGCAGTTCAACAAAGACACTTAACGGTTGTTTGGACCATACTGTAAGCATCTTGTCCTTGCCTGGAGCTGCATTTTCTGGCGATCACAGCACTTGGCCTCGTTGGGCAGACCAGACATTCACACGTTTAACATTTTAATCATAAGTTTTCAGCCAGGAACTCGCAGAGAATTCTGGGGTTTGGGGGTGAAGAACAGAGGATGGTTGGTGAGATTCAGTGTACAAGCTGATGAATGAGTGCCAACTGCTTACTGCTGTTTTTTTTTTATAGTTACTACTGCCGGTAATTTTTTTATTTGAGTAACACCTGTAATTTTATTCATACTCATGACAATACAAGTACAGTGATTTAGATCTGATGCATGAAAATAAAAAGTAACTCCTATGACTAAGAATTACAATGAAATTTATTGAAAACAACTTCTTCGCGGTATCAATCTCTTTTTTTGAGCAAAAAACAGTGGGGAAGGCCCCCACCGTAACTCTGATTTTCATTAATATGGTGGAGTGTTACATATGGATATACATGATGGAATCAAAATATGAAAAATAAAACATCTACAAATAATCCAGCCAACTTTGCATTCCCTCCTTCAATCTAGGTTTTGCTTTTTTGATGATCATGCTGAAGTGTTCCTTGAATGTGGCTAGGCAGAATGCCATATTCTTAGTCTTGTGATCAAATATGATGTTGTTTTTGTGCTTCTATAGGCTCCAACATCCAGCTATTAGGCATTCCTTGAAACATCCTGTGGTATTCTGCTTCTTACCCTCCAAGAGCATTTCAGTAAGGTTATAATCAGTGTCCCATTGATAACCAATGCTCATCCAGAAGTTTTGGCTGAAATCACAACTAAAAAATAGATGCATCAGATGTTCATTAGGCTCGTCATCACATAACACACATTTGCTTGTCTCAATGTAGAAATTCTTCTTGTTAAGGAGGTCTCTTGTGTTCAATCTGTCTTGTAGTAGAAGCCAGAAAAAGAATTTCTGTTTGGGTAGAGTGCATGACTTCCATATCCGTTGAAAAGAGTTTAGGTGCATCGGCAGGGTTTCCCATGTATTCTAGATAAATTCTTTTATTATAGTATTTTGAGCCACCCCAATAAAATGTCCATGTATCTGGTAGGGTCTGATTATCTCTACTATTGATCAACTCTCTGAGGTTGTTACTCTGTTGAACAACAATGGAGGACATAGGCAAATGAAACATATCATAAAAATCATTGTAATCCATGTTGCTGGCAGATGCTAGGGTGGTGTTTGCATTTTTTGCATAGAATAGAGTTGTGGCATTGAATTGGACAGTGCTTGAGAGCACCATTTGTTTGACCATAGCTTGATTGTACTTCCATTACCAGCATAGCATATAGTTATGTCTTTAAACTCCTGCAAAATAGAACAACAATCCCTCCACAAAAATGATCCCACCTTAGTGGGGAAATTTGGTACCTCATCATTGTCATAGTAATTGTTCCAAATAAGCTTAACCCAGGGTATATCATGCCTATTAAAAAATTTGAATAGGAACTTGGTGAGTAGAGTTTTGTTTTGTATCCTCAGGTCCAGTACTCCAAGACCCCCAACTTTTTTTGGTAGACATACATTGTCCCATTTAACTAGACAGTTGCCATTTTTGTTGATTCCTTTGCCATACCAAAGAAAAATTCTTGCCAGACTTTTCAAAGTGATCCAGTATGGTGAATGGTACTCTGATAGAACACATTGCAAATATATGAAGTGCAGCAACTATGGATTTAAGATGAAAAAGTCTCCCAATATGTCATCATGGATGCTATACCAGACAATCTGTGGTCTAGCCTGGATACCATGGGCATAAGATCAATTACTTTGGGCCTAAGCTTGGGGATGCCCCGGATGGCATCCCCTCTTTCGTCTTCGTCCGAGCCTCTTTCGTCTTCGTCCATCGGTAACTTTACTTGGAGCTATATTTTTATTCACCACATGTTATGTGTTTTGCTTGGAGCGTCATTTTATTTTCTTTTGTTTTGCTTGCTGTTTGAATAAAATACCAAGATCTGAAATTCTTAAATGTTAGAGAGTCTTCACATAGTTACATAGTTATTTAACTACTCATTGATCTTCACTTATATCTTTTTGAAGTAGTTTGTCATTTACTCGTGTGCTTCACTTATATCCTATGAGTAAATGGTTGAATGACTACTTGAATATCATAAATCTGAAATTATATATGTTTCATATGCTTATCCCATGAGGGGTAATGACTTCACATCTAAGAAGTAGAGGTGGTAAATTTATTGAAGGTTAGCAAACATTGTATTGGTCACTTGAACAATTCATGAAAGAATATTAAAGGAAGAGAGATTTCACATATAAATATACTATCTTAGACATCTTCTATGATTGTGAGCCCCATTAATTATTTTCAAACTTGAGCAAATTAGTTGAAATTGGACAAGGAAGACAACATAATGAGTTATGCTTGGGTATATTTGTATAGAAGTTATATTATTATAGATCCTCCAACATGTGGTGCTTGCTATTTAGAATCCTTTGCTAGCCAAAATATCTGTACTAAGCAGGAATACTGCTTGTGCATCAAAATTCCTTGAACCAAGTTTCTTCCATGAGTGTCCACCACATCTACCTATTTGCGGTATTTACCTACCGTTCCAAGTAAATTTGCATGTGCCAAACTCTAAACCTTCAAATAATAATCTGTTTTATATGCCTGAATCGCTCATGTAGCGACTAGGGGCTGTCAGTATCTTCCATGTTAGGTGGGTTATTCTCATGATGAGTGGACTCCGCTCATCATTCATGAGAAAAATGGCTGGTAACTGGGATGCCCAGTCCTATGATCAAAAGATCAAAAACAAACCGCAAATAATTTAAACAAAACTCCCCCAGGATTGTTGATAGTTGGACGACACTCGTTGTTTCGGACAAGCCGTGGAGTGTGATTGTTGGTGGAGGGGGAGTAAAATCTTTATCTTTCTGTTTGGGAACCACCTATAATGTGTCTAGTATG